ACAAGGATTTCAAAAGAATCAGATATGTCTTTTTAGGCATATAAAAATATTGGTAAATAAATTAATAAAGGATACAAAGAATCAAAAGCCATAAAATAATAAAAACACTAATCATAAATCTACTGAACTACAGAAAACAGTATTTAGAAATATATTTAAACATTTATTTATCTACATATATCTTAGGAAAATTCTCACGAGATACATATGAAACCATGTTTGTTTGTTTCTTGTTATCCTGCTATAATCTTGTGACTCTTGATGTTTAGAATGTCACAATAAAAATAACAGAATTAAAACCGAAAGAAAAGTAGACCAGACTTTCCCAAGGAAAAAAAAAGGCATATACTGGTGACCGAAAGACTTACTAAAATAATGAAGCCCACAAATTATCATCCCTTTTTCCTCTTTCATGTGTGGATAAATGATAAAGGGCCTGAAAACAGTATCAAGAAACTATAAACAGCTAGGCATGAAAGTCAAAGTGTTGGGAACACAAGTGGTGTTTTCATCTGTACTTCCCACCGAAGGTCAATATCCAATGAGGGAACAGATTTTAGAAGTAAACCCCTGGCTTAAAGGATAGTACGATCAAGAGAGCTTAGGATCCCTAGACCACAGTCTATGTTACCTAGATGAAAGGTGCCTTTCTGAGGGAGATGTGTGGTTCAAAAATATGAAGAGGGAGGGAGAGAGAGAGAGTGGGGGGGAAATACAAATCAAAATAGGCAAGAAAATGGTAAGAGAATACCTATCTATTCTAAATGTTTCAAATTCTGAAGGAGCTGGCAGGCATGATCTTGGAACAACTGAACAAAATATTTCAATGCTCCGGGAACGCCAGGGAAATAGCAGAGGATTGGAAAAGAGCTGATATAGTTCCAATCTTCAAAAAGGGGAAAAATGGATCCAGGAAACTACAGACCAATCAGTCTGACATCAATACCTGGGAAACTCCTGGAAAAGATTATCAAGTAAATTATTTGTGAGCACCTAGGAATGAGCAAAACTATTACTAGAAATCAACATGGGTTTGTTAAAAATAAATCATGCCAGACAGTATTGCCTTTTTTGACAAACTGACTAAATTAGTGAATCATAGTTTACTTAGACTTCAGCAAGGCATCTGACAAAGTAGTCCACAACCTACTTCTTGATAAGATAGAAAAATGTGGGAAAGACAGCATCATTATCAGATGGATTCACAACTGGATGACCGGCACACACAGTGCGTAATGCTCAATGGAATTACATCTAAATGGAGGGAATCATGCAGTGGGGGGATCTCAAGGTTCTGTCTTAGGTCCAGTACTCTTCAACATCTTCATAAATGATATCGATGAGGGGATAGAAGAGAACACATAACATCTGCAGGCTACATCTAGCTTGGGAGAGAATAGCCATGATTTTAGAAGATAGACTCAATATACAGAAGGATCTTGATAGATTTGAACATTGGGTCCTACCCAACAGAATGCAATCCCTTACTGAGAAAAGCAAGGCCTTACACTTAGGCAGGAAAAACCAAATGCACAGGTATAAAATAGGTGGTACCTGGCTCAACAGTAATGACTGTGAGAAGGATTTAGGTGTTCTAGTGAACAACTACTAAAGTATGAGCCAGCAGCTGCCAAAACAGCCAATGCAGCCCTAGGCCTAGGCTGCATTGCATATTACGATCATGTAAAATAATAATATTGCCTTATACTGCATTGGTAAGACCACACTTGGAGTACTGCATCCAGTTCTGATCACCATGATACAAAAAAGAGGCCGAGACTCTAGAAAGAGTGCAGAAAAGAAACAACAGAGATAATAAAGTGTTTGGGGAGTAAACTGTATGATGAACAGTTAATGGAATTATATATGTCTAGCCTAGTAAAGAGAAGAACTAGGAGTGACATAATAGCAGTCTTCCAATACTTCCAATACTTGAGGGGCTGTCACAGAAAAGAGGGGGTCAACCTATTCTCCAAAGCACCTGAGGGCAGGACAAGAGGTAATGGGTGGAAGATTATCAGAGATCCAACCTAGAATTAAGGAGAAATTTTCTGACAAAGAACAATTCTTGCTTGCCTCAAGAAGTTTGGATGCTCCATCACTGAGGGTTTTCAAGAAGATAATGGAAAACTGTTTGTCTGGAATAATATAGGATCTCCTGCTCTAGCAAGGGGTTTGACTAGAGACATTCAAGGTCCCTTCCAACCCTGTTATTCTATGTTGTAAAGAATTGCAAATATTCAGTAAGACCTAAAACCTTAACCTGAGTTTGTATTATCAAATGAAAACCAACTCTAGAGCTTCATTTACATGGACTACAGAAGGAGTTTTGCAGTGTCTTGAAGAATTCCCCATTTTGCAAAACTACAATAAAATATATCGTACTTGTATAGTTTCTGAATATTTCTAGAATATATTTTGACTTTTTTTCCATAGTTTGGAACCACAGTGTGCTGTGTAGTGTAAAAACAATGACTGAGGATTTTCACCATTTATTTTAGTTTTCACACCACCTTGGTATTTCTCAGAAAAGTTTGAAGCATTATATTCTTGGACACATTTTCTTCCAATTCTTTCTGCAGTATCCTTTCTTTTTATTGCAATTCACTATTTTCAGGAGGAATTTCATAAGTAATTTATTTTCTCTTTCTCCTCTGAAGACAAAAATATCAACTCTTCAACAGGAGACTTCAATAGTCTCACAATAATGACCTCATAGTATTACAGTACTTCTGACCAATCCAGGATGTGATATACCACCTTCTTAGCACATATCTCCAGTAATTTATTCTGCTACACAAGGGTATGCATAGGTCAGTGATGGCGAACCTTTTAGAGACTGAGTGCCCAAAAACTGGCCCTGCCCCTGCTCCACCCCCTGCCCCACCCCTGCTCTGCCGCCTCATCCCCTGCCCTGCCTGCCCACAGGACCACTCACCGCCTCTAGGGCCCGCTGCAGATCACCCAGGCAGCCCAGCAGCGCTATGGCAGCCACACCCTCTGCCTGCGCCCTGCAGCATCAACTGCATGATGGGCCGTGAGGGCAGAGTCTTATTTACACTGCCTGGCTGCCATGTCCTTGGCTGTGCTGTTCCATGTGGGCCACACTCGAGGGCGACTCTCCTTCAGGGGGGCTGCTGGAGAGGAGGGCGTCACGGGGGGAGGCAAAGCTGGGGCAATGGCATGTGTGCCCACAGAGAGGGCTCCGAGTGCCGCCTCTGGCACCCTTGCCATGGGTTCGCCACCACTGGCATAGGTAGTCCTTGACATTATGACCACACTTGAGCCCTAAATTTCCGTTGCTAAACAAAGTAGTTAAATGAGTTGTGCCTCACTTTATGACCCTTTTGCAACAGTTGCTAAGTGAATCAGCACAGTTAAGTAAATCATGCAGTTCTTAAGCGAATCTGGCTTCCCCCATTGACTTTGCTTATTGAAAGCCAGCTGGGAAGGTTACAAATGGTGATCACATGACTCCAGGACAATGTAACTGTCATAAATACAAGCCAGTTGGCAAGTGCTCAGATTTTGATCACATGACTATGGAGATGCTACAATGGTTGTAAATGAAAAATGGTCATAAGTGACTTTTTCCAATGCCATTGTAACTTAGAATGGTCACTAAATAAATGGTTGTAAATCAAGCACTACCTGCAATATTCATCTATTCACTGTCTCTTCAAATTTTTAAATTTCAAATTTTCAATTTCATAAGATTCAGGTTAAAACTTCAGACTTTGATGCCTTTACTAATCAATTTTATGATGGAAATGAACAGCCCACAATCATCATGCTGTTCTACTAGTTTCATCCCTGGAATGTGATTCCTAAAAAGACAAATTTTGTTCTGTCACAGAATCAAAGCCTTGCAACATTTTACACTACTGTATTTCTCCTTTTCCTTTTCTGATTGCATATGCTTTTCAAGAAGTGGCTTATTTTTCAAGGACATTTGCAAGATCTTTTTACTGTCAATAACTTGAAAATGACCTTGTCCAGGGCCTGGACTGTCTTTCCTCCACTCCCCCAAGTCTCCTCTTACTCTCCTCTTATCACAACTCACTCTGATAACATTCCCAGTTACCAAGCCCCTCTTAATTTATCCACCTCCAATGTTTTCTAGGACACACAAAATTAGAAACTGTGGAAATGAGTTCTGGAGGGTGAGGGAGGCTTCTTGCTGAGGGCCAAGAGCAGGTTGCCCGTGCTCACCCTGGGAAGTGCTGCTAATCTGTTACAAAAATTTCAAAGAGATAGCATTCACACAACACGGTAAACCCAACTATAGTTTGTCTGCACAGGGATCCCCGATACTTCTGAATCACTGGGAAAAAGTTAAATTTTGAGAACACTCTGTGGTTATTCATGGTTGCTACAAAGAGCTTTTTGTTGGTCTTGTCATTCAATTGTATCCAATTTTTGGAGTTTGTCTGGACAAGTTCCTGCACCTTTCTTGGCAAGATTTCAGAAATGGCTTGCCATTGTCTCCTTTCTAGGCCTGAGAGTGAATGGCTCAAGGCCACCCAACTACCGTAGCTTTGTGCCTAAGCAGGATTAGAATTCCCAGTCTCCAGGTTTGTAGCCTGATGCCTTAATCACTACATTGAATTGGCCCTCTATCACAAAAAATGTAGGCTAGGCATGTCAAACTGGTGGCCCACGGGCCAGATGCGTCACGCTGAAACTGCACCCACCCCATTGCTGGCAATGGGGGAAAAGTCCGGATACGTCGCACGATGTCATGTGACATTGCGAGTTTGACATGCCTGACATAGGCTGTTACAAAAGTTTCATTACCAGAGGACAAACTTTGGAAGCTTATTCATAGTCCTCCCTTTGGCCACTGCAGTTCTACCATCTCAGCTTATCATGGTCTTTGTGTGAGGAAGCAGAGTATTTGCAATATGACTCCTGAGTATATTTTCTCAGCATTGTTAATGTTTAGAAGATGTCTCTACTATCTATGTGGGATTTTTGGAAATAAGAGACTTCACTTATAATTGCACTCTTTGCCTTGCAGCATGCTTATTTTATTTTTTATTGTTATTAAAAGAAACAAAAAAAATATAACAGAGGCACAGAATTTGATAGATGCCAGTGGAGAAACTGAAAAGCATATTGCTACTCCTTGTCATCATGATAGGAGACAGGTGATTTAGCATGTTGTGTAAATGATCTTCACTATGGTTTTCTCAGCAAACTTTGATTAAGTAGAACATGACTTAGCATGGATCTTGCAGCACGTGAACTAAAATAAGATACCAGACTTGTTGCTGTTTGAAATCCGAGGCATAACAAATCAGAATAGCACAAACTGGTGCCGGGTGTAAACCTGGCATTGAAACAAGCAAGCTGACAGGGTGAACTCAAAGTGCACAATGCTAAACAAAGCCCTTTGATATCTGGTGTTCCTCCGACCTAACGCTGCATCCTTCCTGGCAAAGCTGCAACGAAGCTGCAATCACCAACACGTTGTCGTCTCAGAAGCTGTCCTCATGGAAGCCAAGCGCCCACGATACGAAGCAGGAGGGTGTTAACTTCCGGCTGCTATCCGCGGGAAAATCAGGCTACAAAGAGGTGGAGATGATGTTGTCAGCTACTCTTTGAATTGGATGGTGGGATGTCCACGACTGAGACGAAGCTGAAACATCAGACTGTGCAAAATGGCTTCCGTCTTAAGCAGAGCTGAACCACAATCGCTTTTGCTGCCTCCTGCAGCGTTTTGAGCAAAAGACGATTAGATACGTTACAGAATGTAGCTAGGAACCTATTAACAGCTCCATCTATGTCAAAATCAGGAACACCAATTAGTTGTGCCCCATCAAATTTAAATGAACAAGCGGATAATTTAACGTGTTAAATAACATGCTACGCACGTAATTCAGTGCACGCTTACTCGGAAATGTCTCGTATAGGATCGCTGCTGAATCTCGCAAAGAAATTGCATCCTTTATTCTTACATTTGTACCCATTACTGGTAACGTAGGTTAAGAGAATTTTAGAAAAATGTGTTTTCGTTCTGCTGGCATTCAAAGATCCTCATCTCTCCTAATCAAAGGGTAATTTTAATTTAGTAAATTGAGTATATTTAGTAAATTATAGCCCGCAATTAATTCCCGAAGAAATCGTTGTGTTTGAACCAGAGGAATACTAAATATCAAATCTAAATTATAACCTACCATTTACGTTTCTTCTTTTTCTTTTCATGCATCACTATACCAAATAAGTAAAACTCTTTAACTGCCTGTTACTGTAAACTTGAACGGAATTTACCGTTTAGTACAGAACAAAAAAAAAAATATGCCCACGACAATATTTCCCAGTATACTTTGCTTCACAAAACTCGCCTGCTCTGCTTTCAGTTGCGTTGTTTCCTGGGAAATATAGTTCTACAGTGCCGGCCGGGCTTCTGAAGCTATTTGTGAGGAGGTGCCAAGATGGCGGCCCTGTGGGGCGGCGGTGCGGGACATGCTGGGGCTGGGGGAACCCTCCCCATGCGAGGTGCCTCGGAGCCTTTGGTGGGCAATAGCTTTTCTTCTACGCAGGTACCGGCCGGTCTGGTTCCTCGGAACTGAACTTGAGAGTTTCATTTAGCCGGGTCGGGTAACGCTAGATGGACACGTGGAAGCGGTGTGTCTGGCATAGGGAGGTGGCGCTGGCGGCAGCAGCAGCAGCGGGAACGTGGGCTGTGGGGGCTTTGGAATGGAGGCACTGGGAAGAATGCGGTAGAAAAGCTGCTCAGGGAAAGGAGCTTTCAGAAGCTCAAAGTGATGCTTTGGCTGCTCTATCCTAGTTGGTGGCCATTTTGCTTGAGCTTCGATACAGTTGGTAATGGTGGACTGGCGGGCTGGAATGGGCGGATGATGTGCGGCAAAATTAGAGTAGTGGAGCAGATGCCCAGGATGAACTATCTGTAGTTCAGGAATTGGGGGCTTTCTGAAGACCGTCTCCCTCGTGATTCAGGAACAATAAAAGTCGAAAGTTTTAGGCAAATGCAATCCTGGAATCGCTAGGTGTGGCAAGGCGTGGAGTCACACTTTGAGTTGTAGAGCATTTCGGTCTTGGTTGGGGTCTTTGAAAAAATGTGCAAAAAGGAAAGCTGTTTGTAAGATTAGAGAGCTTCTTAATCGAGCCCTGGGTTTCAGTTATTGTTTTCAATTGTTTATCAAAAAGATACTCTTTGTGGCTTTAATTTTTCCCTCGACTTTTAAAACTTTCGTTTGGTTTGTCCCCTTCCCCCAACGTGCTAAAAAAAACCTTAAAGGAATTTAAGGAAGTGGGAGACCAGGGTATATCTAATAGGCTGATGGAGGTGCACCAACTAGAAAGTATTATCTTATGTAAAAATGAATTCCAGTGCTTTTGCCTGCTTACTCTGTTCTCCCCTCTTCGTTCCTGGGTGTGTTCATATCCTTCCACTTGCTGATTCTGTTCAGCCCCATTTGATGATGCTCTCTCTCAGCAGTTCTTTTTTAATTCTTGTATATAAAAATCATTTTGTGTGCATAATCCTGAATGCCTTGTCCCCTTTAAATTAATTTTTTTTTTTAAAAAAAGTAATTTGCAGCAAATCATTTCTCTTTAGAAATGAGAAGCCATTTATGGAAACTTACTATACTATTGTACTAGAATGACAAATAGAAATAGTGAGCTTGCTGTCTAGCAGTCTGTTCACTTGAAAAGTCTGCTGAAACTCCTCTTCCATGCTTTTTCCTGCTACACATTATCTTCCACTGAATATGATTGGAGATTGTGGCATAGCCATGAGAAAAAAAAAACATTTTGTGTTGCTGTGCTAAATAATAGTTAATTTTAAATACTAAGTTACCAGTCTTTTGTAATTAAATTAAGATGTAACTCATTCCCTAAGAATACAAAATACTGAGGCTGTTTGATTCACATTCTTAAATAAGCTGGAGCAATAATTCAGTTTTGCCTTGAATCAACTACCTTTTTTGCTGCTCAATACTTTATCTTTGGAAGTTAATATTTTCTGTGCAAGCTTAATATGTTTTGCACAATGGTAAGTTTTTTTTTTTAATTCTACCCAAGCACAGTCATCTGTTTTCTGCCTGGCATCTTCCCAATTCTGGAGGGTCTGATCAGAAGATAAGAGAAAGTGGAAAGAAGGGCAGAGAATTAATATCAATAAAAAGACTTGGAAGTGGGAAAAGAAATCCAGAAAAAAGTGGGCTTTAAAACAAAGCATAGGTATTGTGTTATGCAGCATGAAAATGGGCGATTTAAAGCTTTAAACAAACTCCTCAGGAGTTTTGTTTGAACAATGTTTAAACTGTATTTTCCCTCATCACACAATTTAAACATAATGCTTTTCTTAAACATATTGCAAACCATATTACTATATAAATGTGTTTAATAAATACATTTAGTAATATGTAAGATACAGTGTCATATTGAAACTTGGCTCAAAGATTGGCTCTTTGGAACTTTTTGGGCTTGTTGAATGTGGTATGATGAATAATAGTGAAGTGCCCCCAAGTTTATAAAACTAAAGTGTTGCTTCTCCCATTTGTTTGCTTGGGGCAGTCTTCCCATAGCATAGCGCCTTTCAGAGATATTGGTCTTTCTCTGTTGGGTCACAGACTAATAATTAAGTAAGCATGAGCTTTGGAAGTTAGAGAACTGGAAAGTGGGTACACCCATAAATCTGGATGCCAAAGATGTGAAATGATAACCCTTTAAATTTTGTGTTTAAGATTACATTGATAATTAGCTGTGAAAGCAAACCAAATGATGGACTTGAGCCTTGAGGTAGTTTATAATTTCTGAAATTTCACTTCAATCATCATTAGAGAGTGCTTTAATTAATCTCATTAGTTTGTAGCAAAGAATCTGAAGCCTCGCCTTGTAAAATTTGAAAGAAATTCTTTTGAGTAATTTCACATTCAGTTGACAGAATTAAAAGGAATATTTTTGTACTAGAAAGTATTTTCAGAGAGAGAAATGTAGTGAGCATCTTAATGTCAACTTTAGGTAAATTCATTGATAAACAGTATTAAGGCTTCTTTAGTTTTTCTGTTTTCTACACTGTATTACTTTTATGCCAGAAGTGTAATTATAGTACTTTTTTATTTCACAACAAAATAGTGATGTTCACATAGTATTCTTTAAGAACACATCTCTTATTCTAGAGATGTCCACTTTCTTTGAGGGATGAGGGAATAGTGGGGGAACTGTATTAGTTCTATCAGCATGAATATTCAATATGCAGCTCCAATAAAGGAGAATATTTGTAGCTCAGGTTGAAATGAGGTATTCTTGGTGCTTTTTGAGCTTGGTTATTTTCTTGTAGATGTTTCATTAGGTAAACTAGGAAACATCAGTGTAATAGCAGTGCAATACCATTGATGATGTCACCTAGTTTGGGTAATGAAATATCTGCAAGGAAGCAAGCTCAGAGAGCACCAGGACTCCTGGGAGTGCAGCTCTACAAATGTGGCTGAGCATACTCAATAATAAGAAACACTGGGGGTTGTACAGTGATGTTTAAAAGTTTGTGAATCCCTTTCAGTTTTCAGAATTACTCCATAAATATAACCCAAAACAAGTCCTAAATCTAGATAAAGAGAACCCAATTAAACTAATGGCCAAAAGTATTTATTCATTTATTTATGGAAAAGAATGATCTAAGGCCACATGTGTTTGTGGCAAATATGTGAACCTTTGCTTTCAGTAACTAGTATCCTCCCCCCCCCCCATGTTTCTTTTCACAATTTAGCCCTCGGAAATCAGTTAAAACTCGTATGCCATAGGTTAAAAAAAAAAAGTCTGATGGCAATGTGAACAGGTAAAAAAGTGGTGTGGTAAAAAAGTGATTTAGTATTATATTTGCCTTCTCCTGTGGTAAAAAAGTGATTTAGTATTATATTTGCCTTCTCCTGTCCTTGGCTTCCTAGTGTCAGCATGCCAGTATTTAACTATAAATTCATCTTCAGAATTACAGGAGTAGATGTTAATAACTGCATTAAAATTGATGCTATTTAAACATTTGTATGTGTATTTTTAAAAGCTTGGTTCTTGTTTGTAAACCTTCATGTTAATTGGGATAACTGGGAGCTGTTCTATCTCATCTACAATGCAACAGGATGAGAGAGACTATTACAGGTTAATCAGCAAAAGAGTATGGGAAGAGAACACAATCATGTCTTGGTCCTCCCAACTTTCTGCAATTAAAGTATCCTGCTTATCTGATTAAAAACTTCAGTGAGCTTCTTCAGTGAGTAAATTGTTTTGCATTGTGCTTGATTACATAGGTACAGGATTGCAGATAGTCTTGGTTGAAAAAGTGCATAAATTGCACATATGGGTCTGATAAACTAGAAGACTATTTTTGCAGAAAAGTAGATTTGAGTCTCAGAAATAGAATGTTTTATTTTAAAAGTCCAGCCTCTAAATCTAAGCTTTTGGGCAGTTTGGAAACAAAATATAACACTCCAAAACATCAGGTATTTTGATAATAATGAAAATGAAAGCATTGGTTAAGAAAACTAATGATGGATGAAAATTGTAAAGTTCCCAAATTCTAGAAACTGAACCATGACAAGAACACATCTGGCAGTTGCAAGACCTTGTTTGCCTCCCTCTATTGCTGTTAAGCACAACTAGCATTCAGTTCCTCATTTAACTTGGATAATAGAGGAGGTTATTCTGTGCCCTGGAAGATAATGCTTAATTCACGTTTAGCTATTTTCATTCTTCTCATCTGATTTATTTTTACTGTCCCTCCATTCTCCTGTATTTTCTCCCTCCAGTGTTTACTGGCAGAGGATTTGCGCTTGGCATCTTTGGAAGCAGAAACCATCCTTGAAGCTGGGGAATTCCTGGAAACAATGCAAGACTACTTAGACTCTTCTGTCATTTCCATCATTGAAGATTTCAGCAGTTTGACTGAGGTGCGGTATAATATGTATGCTTAGAGATGACTTGCTTCTGAATTGCTTTGTGCATGGTAACATAAACCAGGATGGACTACTTACTGTAAAGCCCTAAAAGAAAGCAAATGTAGCTTACGTGGGAGGGGAAGTTCTGTGACAGCAGTGTTTGGTCTATAGAAGATCTACAGTACTTCAGCCTAATAAGTGGTTTTATCTTGAATAGGTAACAGTTATATATTGAATTCCTCATATTCACTTGTGTAGTTTTCTCAGCACAATATGAGAGGACATGGTCTTAAAAATGAAAGAAGCTCAGAAGTTGGACTCTTTGACACTTTTCTTGTGCCAGAATCCTGAAACTGAGATGCTGACTATTCAGACTTCAGCTCGTATTTTCCTGGAATGAAAGTCAGAGTTTCTATTTTTCTGATGCTCTCAATTTGTCCTTGGTAAATTATTAGTATAAAATTGGGGCCCTAGAGAAGCAGAATAATAGTTTTAAAAGTATTAGTTCTTGGTATCACACTTCAATTTCTGTATTTGTGGAACAGGTTAGAATAGATATAGGTACTAAAATTTTTTATCTCTGTATATTTCAGGCTTTTATGTTCCAATTATTGATTTTTTGATGTAAAAAAGTCTTGGATTTTGACTTCAGAGTCCATGTATCTGATTTCTTTACTGTGTAAATTGAAAACAACCCTACCTTTCAGATGTGATGGACAGCCAGGATGATCAATCTTCCATTCTCATGGTTCAATTAGATGGGTACAGTCAACACATATGAAGAGACTAAGTTGGGGCATGGTGATTTATTGGGAGCAATAGTGTTATTGGATAATATTTGTACTGTGGCTTGTTCTTCTAATAACAGGTAAAAAGCCACATGGATGCAGAGAATGAACTTTCCCTGTTGACGGCAATAACAGATATTCTTGATAGCACGGATGATGAGACTCTGTCTCCCTTTGATCCTATTCCTGAATCTGAATTGCTAACATCACCCAGAGAAATTGAGAATTCTTCGGTATGATGATATTCAATTGAATGTTAAGTCATCCTAATAGTTATTGTACTTCATCTCTGGAAGGTTAATTAAAAATGGTTATTTATATTTCTTAATATGTCCCATAGTTTTTCAATTAGATTGTATAAGCCTATAATATTTAAAACAACAATTCAAAACAACTAAAACCAATCAAAACCAAGTTGGATCTAATCTAATACAGCATTAACTTTGCCCTTGTAAATATTTGGAATTACTCAGTGGTGGGATTCAGATATGTGAACAACCTGTTCTCTGTGTGGATGCCACTTCCGGAAGTCCATTCTGAGCTTGGGCAACAAAAAATTAGGTACCAGTTATACCGAACTGGTGCGAACTGGCTGAATCCCACCACTGGAATTACTGCTTTATCTACTCTACTCAACTCTTGCTATAAGCTGCTGAGAGTCTCCTTGAATTACGAGATGGGCAGCAAATAAATTTAATAATAATTTAATAATGTCTGATTTGTATCAAATTAATTTGCATGTTTTCTCTTGAGTGGGATATAAATGATCCTCACATGTTTTTTCTTTGGCCTGAAATATTTCCTGCAACATTTTTTTTTGGATGGTTTACTAACTCAGTGCTTTCATCCAGTTAGTAATGTGTGAGGAATTGTTTTCTACTCTCAGTTAGCAGCTTTTGGTTTTCATACGCAAAATCTCAACCTCAGGGTAATATTTATCACCATTGTTGAAAATTATAGAGGCTTCTCCACTTATCAGAGGTGTCTGCAGTTTAATTTTCTCTTTAACTTGCATCCAGATTCATCAAATCTAACATCCTGTATTGAGAACTCTGCAGAGTAAGAGTGCCCTCTATTGCTCAAATGTACCTATTTAATATTGTTATGGTGTTTGCAAGGTACATAAGAGATGTTAAAGGACTACCTTGCATCTGATTAAAAATAAGGAAAGATGTTTAATGTGCCTTTGAGTTATTATTTTTGGTATTTCCCAGTCTCAGTATTTCAAACCAGCATGAGGGTTCTTGTATTTTGATGTAATGAAAATGGATCATTACTGTAAGTTGTGTTATTTCCAAACTATTTTTTTCCCATCAGTTTCAGAGATTTCTTAGTTTTTCTCTGACACCCGATGAACAAGACTTACACAATATTGAGGATTTCCAGGAGCCTGGACTGTGCACCATTATGTCAAAGAAGGTGATATATTTTGTGAAAACTAAGCCATAGGTGGCTCCAAATGATTCTACTACCTTTAATTTCTGCTCAGAAAAAGAATCTTGATCAAGATTTGTTGTATGCTCTCTTTTGCATGTAACCTGCTGGGTTAAAAGCTACACTAATATTAAATTCCAGTACAGTAGAAAAGCGTTGCCCAAGTGTAATCTTTATGTTATATATCCCCATGTTTGAGGATTTAGCAGGCATACAAGCTAGTAGAATGAAAGGAGTGGGTATATTCTCTGTTTCAGTCTTTGTGGGCTATGTTTCATAGATATAGTTTAAGTACCCTTTAGTAAAATTGCGGGGTTGTCAGAAATACCTTCTTCCCAACAGTATTTTGGTTACTTTCAGTTGTTTTTGCTTTGTTGCATAATCTCTTATTTGATTCGTATTTCCCTAGGTTGAAGCCAGTACTCCCGGCATTCCCTTCTCATTATCTTCAAGTTGTCCCAAACTTTCATTTTTTTCAAACAATGTGAGTAACAAAGCATTCTGGGAGGAACAGAAGCTCTTCAAGAATAGAGAACAAGAATCACCTGTGCTACAGAGCAGTGATGGAGAGGAAGAGGAAAAAGAGGTCACACGAGGATGCAGGGAAAGTTTTACGGCAGTTGTGAAGGAGATGGAACCTGAGAGAGACCTTGATGAATGTGATGATCCCTATATCATTGCCGCAGAAAATATTTCCCTTGATGAATTAGTGAGATCAGTGCACTCTTACTGCCAGCCCACCCTCACTGTATGCCTGACTTCTGATAATCAGTCCCTCACTGAGAAGAATCTCACAGGCCCACTTGTCTTAGAAATAATGCCTGATGGTGGAGAGATCATGATGGGAAAAGAATTGCCTGAGCTTGACTCGTACAAACAAGATGGGAAGGTAGTTAATGCTATCCTTCCAAACATAAAAGACGGTCATCTACAGATAGAGGACACTCAGAAATCAACAGATAATCAAAACAATACACCTGTGCCTGCCTCAGTGGCTCCAAAAAATGCCTCAAAGAAGGATCAGGTATCTACAAATATTAAAAAGAAGAAGAGAAAGAAATCCAGAGAGGAAGCAAAGTATCACAAGACCATAAACTGCCAACAAGTGTCTGCTTGTCCTCAAATGCAGACCAGGATTGATGCAAAGAAATCTATGACAGACTCTAGTTTTCAAAAAAAAGAACTAGAGAAAACTGGAAGGAAAAAATTGCTCCTAAATCAAGTATCTCAGACAAAGGAAATGCTTGAAACTCAAGTAGAATGTGTGAGAGAGGAAGGTTCCAAAAATCCACTTCTGTCAAGCTTAGTAAGTGCAAGGAATGTGCCATATGCAGAGGAGCTCACACAAAATCTAGGGAATGCAGACCTTGTGCCTATAGTCCAGACGGATGTCCCAGGAGAACCCCATGAAAAAAGCCAGTTCCTCCTACCAATGATTGAAATATCTAGCTCAGAACCTTCCCAAATGCTCCCTGGTTGCACTACGAATCTTACAGGACAGCCTACCAAGGATACACCTTCCTGTGAAAATCAGAAACTCATCTGCCCTCCGAGGGAAACTAAACCTCGGCCTCTCAGCTTGAGTGAATACAGGCAGCGCCGGCAGCAGCACCCATCTAATAATGACGGTATCCAGAACACCAGAGAGAACCGGAGTGCCAGCAAGTGGCCCAGTGTTCCCAATTTCCCTACAGAGTTGGCTGACCTTCCTTGCCTGAGAGCTTTGCCACCCACCAAAGCTGCACCACCTAAACTTGCAAAGGAACCTGAAAAACCTGCCGCCTTCCCCACTACTCTTGCCCCTGATGACAAAGCAAGTGCCGTGACCCTTTCCATGCTCTCTTCCGCTACAACTCTGAAACAAAGAGATCCTCCATCTTCGCAGAATGTCTGTGGAGGTTCTCAGTCTCCAACTTCGCAGCTTCCTTCACCTACACCTATTGCTGTAGTGCCTGCTAGTAAAGTATGTGCTTTTTCTCACATTGGGCCACAAGTGCCTCCAGCATTGTCCGTACCTCATGTGCCACCAGCCCGAGATACTTTCCTATCAGCTCCTCCTAACCACTACAATTTGGGCTCATCCCAACCAGCAGGATCTTCATGGTCTCACTTTGCTCTTCTACCAGCTAATTACCAAAGTTTGCCACCTCCACCACCTCTTACTGAAGCTTGTTCTCCTGTCTTCCATACAGTCCCCCCCTTACTCCCTCCAACGTGGCCTCCCCCACCTGTTCCTTTGCCTTTTGTTCCAGCCCTGCCTTATGGCTCTGTTGAGTGGGCACCACTGCCACAGTCTTCCTACTGGTCTGGAATACCAGTGCCACCTCCAGTGTTGCCTATCCCATATGGAGATCAAGGAAGTCTGAGGCAAAGTCCTCAGGTTGGCACTTTACCTGCTTCATCTCTTTCTGATGGATTTCCTGGCCAGCAAAGTACAGCTTTAGCACCAGAGTCCTCCTGTACTGGATTTAAAAATATGGTTAGTAAAAGTCAAAGCCTGCCTGTCCAGATATGCCAAGTAGAAGCTCCTTCAGCAATCAGAGCAGCTCCCAGAAAAATATATGATCCAAGAAGACAAACACAGCTCTCTACGGTTCAATCCCAAACTGAAATAATTGCCAACACTTCTCAGTCATTGGAGAAACTGCCTTTGTCACCATCAGTTGATGAGCCTTCAAAAGAAATAGCATCGACTCAGCACAGGAGCAAAAGTTCTGCCCTGCAGTCCTTAGGGGTGCCCCTTCCTGTGCCTCCTTCTCATCAAATACTGGGAGAATCTGCTGGTAAACTGAAGCTCTCAAAAGAAGACTTTCAGCCTATAGAGAAGAACCCTGAACTCTCTGACTTTGTAGAAACTACTACTGTTACTGTGGCTCAGAACAACAAGAAGCCACCAGCAGAGGAACATTCTTTCCTTTCAGTTTCCTTGGCACCTGGAAAACAAAAGGAGCCAGCTGAAATCCAATCAGATGTCACAGAACATGCCCTTGTTGCTCCTAATCCCTTAACATTATCAGGGCCCCAGAAAGTACAGAAAAATGGCCATCTTTCCAAGAAAACATCATCATCCATGTGGAAAAACCAGCCTTTCATCAACTCTGTACAGCATAAGCATGATAAAGATCTTGTTCACTCATTTATCAATGAGATTGGTGAGTGTCTGTGTTATTGAAAGTGACTTTACTGAACATGGCTAAGAAATGTTGGCAGTAATATATGGGGTTAAAGCTTAAGACACAAAAATAATTCTATTTGAAGATGCGCTGGGGCAAGCCCTGATGGGTTGTGCTTTCTGTGAAAGCAATATTCTTCTATTCTCTCTTTGTCCAGGAATTACTAATATTTTTTTTTAAACTGCGACTTATATAAAGTTCAGTATTTTGTGTTTTGATACCCATGTACATATACTCTTAACATACTCAGTCAAAAAAGTTGCTTATTTCTCCCAACCCATCACAGTTGCTGACATGGTTGGGAGAAGAGGGACAGTGAGCAGAATCTGTGTACAACTTGAGCCAATGAAACTTGTTCTGTGAAGTTACAGAGCATTGACCAGTGTGTGTAAAATTAATATCTCTTTTCCTCCCTTAGGAATTGAGGCTTCTGACCTATCTAGCCTGCTAGAGCAATTTGAAAAGATTGAAGGTGAGAATTAAACAGGACAAGTAAACCAAGATGTTGACTTTATGTTTGGTACCATTAAAATATTTAACTTTTTTGCCTAAAGGTATCCAAAGGATCAAGGAATACCTTCCAGCGTCAAAGGATTTTTCATTAATTTGTGGCTGAGTTTTAGTCTAGTACTCAGGTCTGATTTTTTTAACCCTAGATTATTAAGTGAGAGTTGCTTGGGTTTGTAACCACATAGGAAGCCAAAAACTTATTTACAAACCACAATGTGTTTACACATTATTCAGGATGCAGGATTATACTTCTTTCTCCTTCCCTCGTCAGATACCTCCCTGGTTTTCTTGTTCTAGCAGTATTTTTGTTTTATCTTTTCAAAGTGCTTTGTGCTCATGATGAATTTGAAGCATTTTTTAAATAATTAAAGCTTAGATGTTTAACAGATCTGTTCCTACTTTGTTAGAGTAGCATCACCTTGATTAAGCACTGTGTTTTAGAATCAGATCTTGCCTTAGAGCTACTGCTGTAATATATTTGACTTTTTTTGTTGTCACTGTTTTTCAGCCAAAACAGAAGCATCTACTGTATTAAAGAAAAATAAATCTACAGGGAATAATGGGTAAGCATAGACCTTTATCCTGTTTCTGTTTGGCAACTTAGTACAGGTAGTCCTCCACTTAAAACCACAATTGGGATCAGAATTCCGTTGTTAAGCAAGGTCGTTGTTAAATGAGTCATAGTAAGCATTACGATATTTTTGCCGAAGTTGAAATTAAAAGAGTTTTCATTATGTCTTCTGATGTTTTGAAGGGCTTTAGTTGGCTTGTGCCAATTAAAGCCCTTCAGAATATCCTAAGTAAACCAAAAGACCCAGCAGCCCCAAAAGAAAACATGAATCATCTACAACATACGGTGTAATGACTGCAACAGCCACTATGTAGGACAAACAAGCAGAAGACTGGCAGAATGCATCCATGAACACCAATTATTCAGAAGACATGATGAAACGTTTTTAATTTCACAACATATGAACAAACCTAACCATAGTTTCAAGTGGGAAACTGACCATCCTAGTCCAAGCTAGGTCCAAAAACTCTGGGGAATTTCTAGAAGCCCAGCATTCTGACAAATTAGCCATCAATAGACACACAAACAATATCTACATATTACCCAAAAGAGATTATCATCGAGCCAAACAAGAATAAAAAACCCAAAATACCTCCTACCAGCAATCAGCATCCATATGAGCCTAGATTAATTAACTCTTAAGATTAACATCAGACCAACAATCAAGTAAACAATACCACAATTAAGGACCTGCCAAACATGCCGACAGGAAACAGCCCAACCAAAGAACCTCTAAGACCACTCACACCAACATTGACAGGGCAAGCCATTAGAATATAAATTTAGAGCAAACCCCACTCATTTGGGTAATAAAATGTCTGTAAGAAAACAGACATTTTGGGTAATAAAATGTCTGTAAGAAAACAACCAAGGTCATAGAGTGCCAAGGACCCCTCAGTTCAATCCTGAACTATTCTCCTTTATTGATTGTCAATATACGCTGCTTTCCAAGCACCCAAATTTAGATCACATGATAATGGGAGTGCAGTGATGGCTGTAAGTGCAAGGACCTGTTGTAAGTCACTTTTTAGGGCCATTGTAACTTCAAATAGTCACTAAATGAATGGTTGTAAGTCAAGGACCACCTGTAATATTATGTTAGGAAATAGGCAAAACACGTTAGTCAAAGCTAGGGCATCTTGACTTAAATTTCCTCTTATGCCACTAAGAAGCTCTAGCACTCTTTGTTTTGGTGCTTTTTATGTTAGGGAACTGTGGAGAATATTGTTGAGAGGTCTATGGTGGAACTTTGTTTCCTCTTTCAGGTCTGAGTTACAATGGGAAAAGAAAATGGTGGACCGGCTTCATGCACCAGAGCTCATCAATGTTGCAGGTAAAATTCCTTTGGGGAATTCTGAAATGGAAAAACCAACAAATCTCTTTCCTAGGAGTCTTTTTGTCACTGAGAAGATGATAAAGGATTTGTGATGTTTGATACTTTCTTTGGCATAACAAACTTCCTTAAGCACCTTTGTATATTTTTAAGATATCCCATTGAACAGTTCCTGAAGTACATGGAGGGACTTACTTTGAAGAGTTTATCTAAAGCAGGGGTCCCCAGCCCCCGGTCTATGGACTGGCAGCGGTCCACAGCATGCCAACAACTGGTCCGCAGAAACAAGCAAAGCCCCATCTGTGGGATGTAGGCAGCACACAAAACCACACCCTCTCTGGTCCATGGAAAAACCTTTCTCCATGGAACCGGTCACTGATCTAAAGAAAGCCTGTTCTGTTATGACTGGAGGGAGATAAGATGAAGATATAAAAAGTGGGTATTCATACAGGTTTTGAGAATACTACACAGGTATAGAAAATAGTTTAAATACTTTTATACTGCTTTCCATAGTAGAGGAGGGTGGTTTGCTGGGGATGGCATGAGTCTTTACTAAGCAGTTCTAGTAGAAATAATCTGTTCAGCTCATGATTTTGTGTTTTAATTGATGCTCTATTTCCTTCTTTCCATTTTTATGCAGGTTTGACTCCTCCAGCCACTCCACCCCATCAGCTGTGGAAACCTTTGATACCTGTCTCATTACTGGGACAGGATGGGTCCCAAAAAGATACCAGGCTTTTGAAATCCCTAAACAAATTCCACTGGAAAGCTGTAACCCCTGTCCACGTAGGCTCTGGTGAGCATGACTATTGTCAACTAACTGTTGCTCAGCCAAAGGGAGGTGCCAGATGGAATGTTAAACAGAACTTGGATATTACTATAAAACCTATTAAGACCCTAACAAGACAAGTGCTAGATCAAACCTCTGCTGATATAAAAAGGCCCCCTGCTGCTGTTAGATTGAATCCTGTAGTTCCTACTTGTCAGAATCGTGGAGAATTTGCCAACCATGTTAATTCCAACAAGGGCCAGACCAAAGATTCCAGGACTGTTATGGCTGACTTGAAACCTACTATGCCAAGTTCAGCATTGTTGGAGACCAGTCATATACATCCATGCAAAGAGGCATTGGACCATCGGACTACTATTCCAAGGTCCATGACTGGGGGCAATGATGATCCATGCTCTGTACTGCTGTCACCGGCTGCATCCCCTTGCCGAGATTCAGGAGAATCATCATTACAGCAACTTCAGGAGATACAGGAGAAACCTCTCGCTTCGAAAAGCTCCTTAAGATGCTACCGGAGCAGACAGAGATCAGCTAGTCCAGAAAGCCACAGGGGCAGAAGCCGACGAAACCATGCTAGCCGGTCCTTCAGTTCAAGCTCTGATGGTGACAGTGATACTTCATCATCGTCGTCGTCGTCGTCATCTTCTTCGTCACAATCACGTTCTCGGTCTCCACCATCCAAACACTGGCGAAGGTGAGTAATATTTTCCCCTTACATAAATTCAGTATTTCAAGAATTAGGTGTAATTTTTGCTGAAATAATAGCTTTATTTCATGGGGTCCCATGCTCAAGAAGAGATGCTAATTGAACAAAATTAATATTAAAAAAATTGGTCGTGAATGGTTGACACAAATATGATCTCTGATAGATGTCTATGAAGATTCTCAATCATCCAGGTCATAGTTGTCTCAAAGATGCTTTTCAAAAGTCTAGTTGCCTTTTGAAAAGCACCATTAGGAGGATCTCTGATAGCAATACCAATAGCTCTTAGACTTATATACCGCTTCACAATGCTTTACAGCCCTTTCTAAGCGGTATACAGAGTCAGCCTATTGCCCCCAACAATCTGGCACCTCTTTTTACCAACCAATGAGCCGAGGTGGCGCAGCAGTTAGGGTGCAGTACTGCAGGCCACTTTAGCTGACTGTGTTCAGCAGGTCAGCGGTTCAAATCTCACCGGCTCAAGGTTGACTCAGCCTTCCATCCTTCCGGGGTAGGTAAAATGAGGACCCAGATTGTTGGGGGCAATGTAAATATATACATACATTGCTTACTGGTGTACACCACTTAGAGAGTGCTTGCAGTTAAAGCGGTATATAAGTCTCATAAATAAATAAATAAATAAACCTCAGAAGGATGGAAGGCTGAGTCAAACTTCCAACTGCCAAACTGCTAGCAGCGGGAGTCAGCAGAAGTTGCCTGCAGTACTGCACTCTAACCACTGCGCCACCAGGGCTCATATGATAGACTCCACTTATGACATTTAAAGAATGTCATAAATTCTTTACAGCTTTTGTTAACTGGTTTTGTTTTAGGAATGGCTATGTGTTTTAGGAAGGACTGCTGTATGTATATTTTAGGAATGGCTGTATGTATGTGTATGTTCTATTGAATAAGTATGCTCATGCTGATTTTCTCTCAGAGCAATTTAACTTAATTTCTCCTTCTGGAGATAATGCGTAAATTGTTCAATTTGTCTCTAGCTCTCTTTTGTCTTTATTTTAATTGTTTAAATTTTGTTTTCTTTTGAAAACCACAATTTAGGTTTGATATTCTCTTTCATTGGCTCAATTTGTTTGTTTGTTTGTTTATTATTTGTTCATTATTATTCTGAAGGTTTTCTTAACTTTAATTTAGTAAATAATATGCTGAACTATTTTACTGTTACTTGCAACCATCAGCAACTGGCTCAGCGCAATATATTAAGTTACAAACTAAATGAATCACATTATGAGTTAGTATGTGATTTCTCTACTATAGCATGGGAAAATAGTGGGAAACTGTTCCAGAATTGGCTGCTTGAAGATCAATCTTATCACACTTGCTCATTCTTCTGAATTATCTTATCACTTTTTTCTATAAGTGGAATATAAAAAACGCAAAAGTCTTGACTTACCCAATGTATATCAAGCAAATAAATTTATACTTTCTACTTAGAAAGCTTGATTTCCCAATTTGCAATAGAATGTAGCGTCTGATCATATGCGGCACTTAACAGTATTTCCTCTACTTTAAGAATAAAATAACTTAAAACTGGTGCACATATGTTTGAAGTGCTGTTAGCAATGTGTTTATTCCTTGCAACGTAATCTGTTTTTGTACTGGGTCACACTATTCATTTAGTTCTGTAGTGCCTAAACTAACTAGAGATTGAGGTCTTTTGCATCACCTACTACTAATCTTTTTAACTGGAGATTCTTGGAATGGAACTCGGTCCCTTCTAAGTACAAACCATAGGCTTCTCATAGGGGAACATGTTTTGGTTTCCTCCTTCTAGATGTCGTTCACGGAATTCCAGCTCTTCTTCCACTAAATGGAGCCATTCAAGGGGCAGGTCCCGCTCTCCCTCCAATTCCTCTTACAGATCACGATCATCCTCCCGGTCCCCTTCTCTGCACAGAAGGAATAGCTACAGGAAAAGGTGAGAAAATAGCATCGTTCTTTCTCTTCTTGATTCCTAGCTTGTTGAGGCATTGAAATGCGTTAACAAAGTTTCTGGTTTTGGAACATCCTTGTTGTTTTATAGCTCTTTACCTCCAAATCCAAACCCAAATTATTATTATTGAGATGATATACAGTGAGTGAAATGGATTGGTCTAGAACAGGGGTAGCTATGCTGGCTCAGGAATTCTGGGAGTTGAAGTCCACGAGTCATAAAAGAGCCAAGGTTGCCTATCCCTGGTCTAGAATCTACAGTACATTATAATCAAACTATCTTAGAAGCTGAAGTATTGTCTAAGAAATCAAATCAAATTACACACAATTTAGAGTTTCTTCTCTTTTGGGGGTATTTTCCCCATTGGTTTATAAAGTTTCAAGCATGTGTGGAAAAAATTTGGCTTTTTATATGATGTTGAACAAGAATTGTTAGCGTTTGCCATGCTAATTAAAGCTGGAAGTCCAGCAGTGTCTGGAAATTTCTCACTTCTGCTTGAAATATTTGGCAAGATATAACATTGTAAACATTATATAAAGATTACCTAATGCAAAGTAATAAGTTGTTTTTAAACACTGAGGTTTTTTGGGGTAATATTTCTTCCCATAAGTACTTTTTTCATACTAAATTATTTTTTTTCCTCAAATAAGCCAGAATACTGTGTTTAACCTAAAATACATGCAATAGGAAAATCTGTGATTTTTTTTTTCTCTATGAGCAATTCTTGTACTATCGATTTTTTTCATCTAGATACCTAGAATCATTGCTTAGACTTTTTCTTGCAAGCCACCTGGGGCCTGTGTTTGTCTTATTTTTGTTCAAAGATCAAATGGGCCCATGATTGCATTTCCTAAGCAAAGAATCAAAACATTCTTTTCTGTTTACTGCCATTTTATTTTTCCATAGGATAGGAAAGGTTATTAATGAATACTGAATAAAAGTGTAATTTTGTCTTTCTGGTTTTTTTTTAAAGCTATAATTCCAGAAGTTCCTATGAACGTTACCAAAGGCAGAAAAACAAATATAAAGAACGTGCAATCGTGAGTATGTGTATTGTACAATAATATTGTGGGAAGAATATAACCTCCATATAAGGCTGTTTTTATTAGTTTTTTTTAAAGTCTTTTTTATGTAGAATTTTCTTCCATAGAAAAGAATTGCAAGTTAGCAAACTATATAAAAACATTTCTGTATATCAGACATGGATTGAGCAGAATCCATATTGTTTGCTAAATCCAATAGTATTATCCAACTACAATTCACTTTTAATAATTCAGATTCAATCATCTGTTCCATTGTGATCCATACCCTAGAAAGGATTAGTTGAGATCATTGTTTACTAAGAATGTGGGTTGGATTGGCTGGCAAGAGAAAAGTGTCCAAATAATAGAACTGTGACTGAATACTGGCCCTGAACTGTGTGCATAGGAGGAACGCCGCGTTGTCTTCATTGGTAAGATCCACAACGGGATGACACGATCAGAGTTGCGACATCGTTTCTCTGTTTTTGGGGACATTGAAGACTGCACACTGCACTTCCGGGAGCATGGGTAAGGGGTAGATCTGACTTTCCTTTGGGCAAGTGTCAACCTATTGGATAATATTGAGCTAATGGTAAAAGGGAGAGAAAGAAATGTGATTTTCAGAAAAAGCAGCCATTCTTTTCTTTCTTCCCTACTTATCCTGCATTATATATATCATGACAGTTATGACTTTTAATACATAACTGTCCTACTTGATAGGGATAACTTTGGCTTTGTGACTTATCGATACGCTGAAGATGCCTTTGCTGCTATAGAAGGTGGACATGCACTGCTTCGTCCTGATGAACAGCCCTTTGATCTGGGTTTTGGAGGACGTCGACAGTTCTGTAAAAGAAGCTATGCTGACTTAGGTGAGTCCATGGTTGGAGACTGAAGAGTTGAAATGTTGGGCATCCAGTTGATACATTTTTGTGCAGAAGATTTGAACAAAAATCTGATACACACCTGGAAAGTGCTCCCAATTGAAAACACAGAAAGTTTGGCTTAAAGTACTGTTTGGTTTGCATTGTATATTGCCTTGTAAAGCCTATCTGTGCACTGGTTTAGATATTGTGGTAAATCACATTGCATTGATCCATAAATAATGAGTTACAAATAACACTTTTTATGGCTTCATGTAGCTCATTAAATAAAAACCAGGCCACAAAATGACTTAACATGATGTGCAAACCCAATTATAATGAATTAAAGTCTATGTGGAGTAAGGAACTAACATTTCTAATATGCATATCTGGTTGTTAATTCTGATGTATTGTTCTTGTGGTTTCAGATTCCAGCCAAGATGACTTTCAACCTGCCCTTCTGAAAAATAAATACGATGCTCTTGACTTTGACACCTTATTGAAGCAGGCTCAGCGAAGTCTGAGGAGGTAGTGCTAGTTCTCCCAGGCTCAGTTGCCCAGTAGGCATGTGCCTACACCAGCCTTACCTCAGATTGATTGCAGGGGCAAACAGCCCCCCTCCGGCCCAGCTCCGTATCCAGCATGATTTTTTAATGAAATACAAACATAAAAAAAAATATTCTGAGTTTTTCCTAAAAGCTATTTAAGGGAAGGACCTTTGTTTAACGTGGGATAGGAATGGAAATACATTGACAATTTCTAGTCCACTTAATTGCTATGCAGACAATAAAATTCCAACTACAGACTTAACAAAACTATGGCTGTTTCTCACTCTATCATTACAAGGATGAATTTTAATAATTTTTTCTCAGAGTTTCACAGACCAAAAAAAAAAAAAAAAAGACAGCAGACAGTGGGTGCCAATAGCCAGTATTCAGGAAGTAGGGGTGGAGGGAGATGGCAACAATAGAGCAATTACAAGCTGCATTCATTATTTAAAGGATTATAAGCTTTACATGGTTGTGAATGAAACATGCAGAGAACATTTTGAATTTCTTGGACAGCTTAGCTGCGTTGTTCTCTTACTAAGAATCCCTGCCTATTCTTACCTTTCAGTTTATTCTGTCTTTCATCTTTATGAATCTCTATAGCAAACAATGAAAATTCTCCTCTTATCTTGATTAACAAATTCTACAAAAAGGTTACGGTTAAAGAGGTGGATAAAGATGTGTACTGAACGTTATATTACCATTTTATGCAAAAATAATTGCATATTCTGATTTTCCTAGTGATTTGCAAAAACAAGGAATTATTCATGCCACTGAGCCCTTATCCTGAGCACCTTACTCTGGTTGACTGTGCTGTCTGAAATCTCATTTGATTTTGCTGGCTGAAAGTCCAAATGAAACTAAAATCATCTGCAAAACAGATTTGAAAATGTTAAAGAAAATGTGTTGTCTGCTAGAAGTAAATAGTACAATATAATCTGCGCATTTGGGGTGGGGAAGAGGTTGCAAAGGACAGAACAGCAACTCACAACCTGATAATTTTGCTCATAATCTATTTTGCCTTAGCTGTTTGCAAAAGCTCAAGCAAAGTGATGACTGTTCTACTTGGATACTTACAGTAGGTTTTCAGAGATGCTGTTTCTATGGGAGATATTCTACCTTGATGCATGTAAGCAAATAGGGTTGCCTTTTGCCACTTGATGGTATTAGGCATAAATCAAAACACATTGAAGCCAGAAAAAAAAAGATTTATTATTTACTATTACTACTACTACCATGGAAAGACAATATTCTCAACTAATGAACATTTACCTACCTCTTTTTTGGTGTGTATATGGAATTGCCCATCACTTTGTTTTGACTGTTTACAAGGCTTAGAAAGTGGATTTTATAGTATGAATAGAGTCTGGTTTCATATTACAAGATTTATGATTTATGCCACAGTATTTTATTATTACATTTTTCCAGTAAGAAATACAGAATTGAAGCGTGTTATACACGTAATTTCAGGATTTTAGAAATAAAAAATCCTTAGTCTTCAGCAAATGCATTCCTGTTTGGTACATCCACTCCCAAGTTAGTCCATTTCATTATTCTTCACATAGCTTTCTAGGTTCTCATTCTTTTGACCAAGTGCCAGGGTTTGGGGGCCTATACGTCTACTCTTTATCAGGATGCTTCCTCTCCCCTCCACCCTTTGCCAAATTTTCCATGTCTCCCAGTGGCACTTGTCAGCCTGCTGTGATAGCATCAATGTGTGGCTGCTGCTTTTTTACTACATTTCACTGTGCTTTGAGAATGCAGCTCACTGCATGTGTGGATTGATGCTATAGGATTTCACTGTGATGCATGCTATATAACTAAATTATATTTAATAGCAGAAACAGTAAATACCAAATGCATGAATAGTAGAAAAGAATTGGACACTTTAATGTATGTGAAGCAGTTCTTTTAGTCAGTTCCATAAATGAAATAAACAGCTAATGAAGCTCTTTGCATAATCCATCTTCTTCGGTTGGTGGATAACTGGAACTTTTGAACTAGATTTTAATGTGTTACTGCTGAGACCCAGATGTGGACATGCTTGGGATATACGAACAACGGAAATAAATAGAAATGTGACGTATCTTGTACAATCCACAGATCAACATTGTCTTCAAATACTAATATACTAATATACATTGTCTTCAAATACTATATACTAATACACACACACACACACATACATATATATATACACACACACACATACATACATACATACATAATGCTGTATGTTACACCCTGTTAACCCAAATATGGGAGAGAGAAATCTTTTGCCTTGTATCAGCTCAAACTAGAGCCATCCACAGGCAGCAGTCACAACTGTGACATCATATACATTTCTAAATGTATATAATAATAGCTATTCCAGTTCTCTCTTAATTCTTTGCTAGCAATCCAAATTTTTTATATATATATATATATATATATATATATATATATATATATATATATATATATATATATATATATATATATATATAGATATATATATATATATATATATATTTGTTTTCTGAGGTTTTCGCGGGTATTTGTATGTAGGTCTTTGGTTGTTCGGGTTTTCTCCCACGTAAAATTGGAAGTGTCTTTGCGACGTTTCGACGAAGTCCCATTCGTCATCTTCAGGCTGGTGCTTTCAGCTTCGTGCCTCGAGCAGCAGTGTGTGGTCTTGGCTTTTTCTTCCTTTTAACTGCCAGTGGAGGTATGAACTGATTGGGTGGGAGCTTGGCTGTGTTCTGATTGGGTGGAGGTGTGTTCTGATTGGTTAGGGGCTTGGCAGTGCTCTGATTGGCTGGGGGGTTGGCTGTGCTCTGATTGGCTGGGGGGTTGGCTGTGCTCTGATTGGCTGGGGAAGTGTTCTGTTTGGTTGTGCTCAGGTTAGTCTGAGTTGCAGAGGGATTCAAGATTTTGGGCTGCCCTGCCATTCCTTGGCTTCGTGTTCGTGGTCGTGCTTCCTCTTCATGGAGGGTGTCAGTTTGCTTCATGTATGGATTGGGGGGGTTTAAAGTGGCTAATGATGCAGCTGTGGTCTGGCTTCTGGTTTGTGGTCGTGCCTCATAGTCAGTGTGGCTTGGGGTTTGTTTTTTGCGTGGATGTTTGGTGGTGACATCCTGTGTGGTTTTTGTGAGTGTGGGTCTGGTATCATTTTTTGTGTTAGGGAGTCATTTGTCAATGAGGGTGGGTTTCCAAATGGCTGGTAGGCGGGAGGTATCATCTCGCTTGTTCATGCTGTGTGGGCGTTTTTCTATCTCAATGGCTTCTCTGATTATTCTGTTATTAAAATGTCAGAATAATCAGAGAAGCCATTGAGATAGAAAAACGCCCACACAGCATGAACAAGCGAGATGATACCTCCCGCCTACCAGCCATTTGGAAACCCGCCCTCATTGACAAACGACTCCCTAACACAAAAAATGATACCAGACCCACACTCACAAAAACCACACAGGATGTCACCACCAAACATCCACGCAAAAAACAAACCCAAAGCCACACTGACTATGAGGCACGACCACAAACCAGAAGCCAGACCACAGCTGCATCATTAGCCACTTTAAACCCCCCCAATCCATACATGAAGCAAACTGACACCCTCCATGAAGAGGAAGCACAACCACGAACACGAAGCCAAGGAATGGCAGGGCAGCCCAAAATCTTGAATCCCTCTGCAACTCAGACTAACCTGAGCACAACCAAACAGAACACTCCCCCAGCCAATCAGAGCACAGCCAACCCCCCAGCCAATCAGAGCACAGCCAACCCCCCAGCCAATCAGAGCACAGCCAAGCCCCTAACCAATCAGAACACACCTCCCCCCAATCAGAACACAGCCAAGCTCCCACCCAATCAGTTCATACCTCCACTGGCAGTTAAAAGGAAGAAACAGCCAAGACCACACACTGCTGCTCGAGGCACGAAGCTGAAAGCACCAGCCTGAAGATGACGAATGGGACTTCGTCGAAACGTCGCCAAGACACTTCCAATTTTACGTGGGAGAAAACCCGAACAACCAAAGACCTATATATATATATATATATATATACACACACACACACACACACACACACACTATATATATATGTGTGTGTGCGTGTGTGTTTCCTAAATTTTTGGATTGCTAACAAAGAATGGGGACTGGGATAGCTATTTCGAGCTGATTAGCTCTCATCAGCAAGACATACTCTTCTGAGATTCAAACCTGGGCTGCTTGCAAGTTAGGCAGCTGTGTTGACCTCTAGGCCATAGGCTCTTACTTTGTCAGCTATATCAGGGAGGGAAGAGACCAGGGGAGGAGATTTATCTTGAGTGTTTTTTGATTAATTGAGCAAAGGTGGGTGGAGACCTTGGGAGAAAAGAGATTTACATATTTTTAAAATTTTAATTTGGACTGGATCTTTAATTAGTGTGGTTCTATTCACAGAATGAAATGAAATACATATGTGAATGGAATTCAAGTCCATATCAATCTTTTGAGTTTTGTTTCACTTTCTTGATGTGCAGCCATAACAATCCTAAAAAAATAAGGTATTAAGCGCTTAAAGTTTCTGTAATCTTCTTCAATAGTCTAACCCAGTGGTTCTCAACCTTTTTAATGCTGCGACCCCCAACCGGTCGTAAGTCGAGGACTACTCAACTGGTGCAGCACCATTTGCAGAATGGGACTTTTGGTGGGCTCAGCAGGGCAGAGACAGCCTGGACAATTCCTATTGGCTTTTGAAAGCCAATAGAATTAGACTCTATTCAAGAGAGTCTATTCTATTGGCTTTCAAAAGCCAATAGAATAAAAGGGAGTAGCACAGCTAAGGAAAAGGGGGAAAAATGGTGGACTGTGTTGTTTGGCGACCCCCGTGAAATGGTCGTTCGACCCCAAATGGGGTCCCGACCCACAGGTTGAGAACCACTGGTCTAACCCAAGCATGTCAAACTCGCGACATATTGTGACTTTTTTGCCATTGCTGGCAATGGGGTGGGCGCGGTTTCAGCATGACGCATCCGGCCAGTGGGCTGGGATTTTGACATGCCTGGTCTAACCCATTTAGCTTTGAGTTTTGTTTTCTGTTATCTACTTATACATTTGTCACAACAAACTGTCTTTCTATAGAACAGGGGTCTTCAAACTTAGACCTTTTATGACTTGGGGACTTCCACTCCCAGAATTCCTCAGACAGGCACACTGGCTGAGGAATTCTGGGAATTAAAGTCCACAAGTCATAAAAGGGCCAAGATTGAAGACCCCTGGTATAGAAGGCACAGAGAGCCGA